GCAATATTTTAACTTATTTCAAAGTTATATTTGTGAAACCATATTTTTATTAAAAATAAAATATTTTACCTCTATAAAATTACCGAATGCTGCATTTTTGAGAAAAACTGCAAATCTCTGCTCTGTGGTTATGGGCCTACTTGTTGGGCTTCCCAACAGTTTGGAGCAGAAAAAGAAGTGGAGGGTCGAGTGCATTTTAATTAACAATGAGAAAATGTGCAGCTAAATTACAAACTAGCTTGAAAACTGAACCGAAAAATGAACTCTAGTTAAGCGTAGATGTATGTGTGTAGATACATATTGTTCTATGTCTGTATGTAATTACAAACGAGCCAAATTTCTCAAATTTATTTATTACTTTTCCACAGCAGCAATTTTCTGAATAAATATGAAATTAAATTCGAGAAAAACATACATACATACGTACAGACAACCAAACACTGAAAAAACAAGGCCGGCAGCAACATWATACAACAACAAAAAACTACTGTAAATTTGAAGTCAAATGCCGAAAACTGCCGAGAGGTCAGAGATATCGAAGGTTTCGCCCACTGCTTGGCCTATGAGCATGGCCAGCGCTTGTTTCTATGCATGTAGGTGTATGAGTGTGTGCGTGTGCTGCTTGTTTACACACATGCCACAAACGTTTGGCAAGTGCCTCCTCTCGAAAAATAACAATTGACATGCTGCCTCCGGCCTGAAGTGGACAACATGCTGTGCYCTGACCTCCACACGTGCACTTGCTCTCCAGCTTGGCATGTRTGTGTGTGGGTTGTTGTTCCTGTAAATTATATTTGTGCGCTTACGAAAACATTGCTTATATGAAAATTTGTTTAAAACACAATATAATAATTTCTCAATTTCGGGTTGAGCAGCACACAACAGCCAGCAGCCAGCAGCCGGTTGTCATTTGTCTTTGGCCATGCCCCTCTAGGMGACTGCAGCAGGATATGGTTATGGCTACGGCTACGGCTACGTTTGCTTTGTTTCCTATTTTATTGCGCTCGTATTTTCTGGCACTCAGCCGGCAGCGGCAAACAGTCGTCGAGGCAGTGAGCCAACCACACGGCTAACTCACGCACACACAYACATCCAGACAAATTCTGTGCTGTATATATTGTTGTGTGTGTGCGCTGTTGACAGCGTGTGGCAAGCAATGTGCACCCACTCAAAGGCCAATTAAAATTTGAACTTCTGGTTACGAATTGAATGAATGGTAAATGTTGACCAAATTATTGTTGTTGGTTTGGCTTTTTTTTTGATTTTGTTGCGTATGAGTGCATTCGACTGTGTGTGTATGTGTAGAAAATTCAGTTGTGGCATTGTACAATAACAAAAACCCAAAAACGACAACAACGTGAGAAACAGAGAAAATTTAAAATAATATAAATTTTGACTAAAAAAGTGAAAAAGTTAAATAAAAATTAAAAAAAAGAAATAAATAAAAAAGTTAAAAAAAAATTAGAAAAAAATTTAAAATAACTGAAAAAAAAAACAGAATAAACGTTAATCATTTAATTTTTTATAGCATAAAAGGGTATAAAAAGAAATTTTTCTTGAACTTGATCGCTYAGTTTGTATGGCAGCTATATGCTATACTAATCCGATTTTGGCAATACATCCGCATATTATAGCGCTGCTAGAGAAAATAAACTGTGCCAAATTTGGTGGGTATATATAACCAAATTTAACATTTTTCTTACAAGAACTTGACTTTGATCTGTCAGTTTGTATGGCAGCTATATGCTCTATATGCTCCGATCTAACCAATTTCTTCACAGATGGTATAAATATGTCGAATATTATTCTATGTCGAATTTGGTGGGAATGGATTGTCAAATAAAAAAGTTCTCCACAGAAGACCTTGAATTTGATCTGCCAGTTTGTATGTCAGCTATATGCTATAGTTGTCTGATCTAAACTATTTCTTCGCAGATTATAGAGATATATCGAGTACTAATCTGTGCCAAATTTGGTTAGGATACATAGACAAATAAAAAACTTTTTTACACAGGGACTTGAGTTTTATCTGCCAGTTTGTATGGGAGCTATATGCCGCAGTTGTTTGATCTGAACAATTTCTTCGCAGATTGTATACATATATAGAATATTGATCCATTCTAAATTTGGTGAGGATACATTGACAAATAAAAAAGTTTTCTATACAAGAATTAAAGTTTGATTCTTCAGTTTGTATGACAGCTATATGCTATAGTTAACCGATATCCGCAAAGCCGATAAATAAGCAGTAAATTGATAAGAATAGGACGTGCGCAACATTTCCGAACGATGTATCACAAACCGAGGGACAAGTTGGCATATATACAGAGGGACAGTCATAAGGACATGTCCAAATTGAATCAGCTCGTCACGCTAATCATTTATATGTATGTATATATACTTGTTGGGGCCTCCTATCTTTCCTTTCGCGTTTCACAAACATCTTAACAAATTGCATATACCCTGTTGTGGGTATAAAAATATACATATACACATGTACTCGTGTATATATGTAAAAGCAGCGCAGCAACTCCTTGCGGCAATGAGAGTGCAGTTATTTTTTCCATAATAAATATTCTGCATTAGCYTGTTGGTATGTGGCAAGCTATGTTRTGTGTTGTTTTTCAATTAGAGCAACAAATTTGTGGTTATGGCAATGGAAGTTGTGCTTACATTTAACAGAAAAATAGTTGTTGAAACAAAACTTATTTGCGTAATGCAAATTGGTARACAAAAATCATAAAAGAAAGATTACAAGCGATAAATTACCTATATCCGGTGGCATATTACCTATTGGTGAAGTAATAATTGTTATTTTGATATTCAAATTGCTATTACTTTTCAATAAATAATTAAATTACTCAGTTTTTTCAGCTCAAAGTCAATTTTTGCGAAATATGAGAACTATTGTTGACTCTTCTTAAATTCGTACACTCACCMTCACCGAACAGGAARAACTCTTTTTACTTTAAGGTGMCTGGGGGTAATGCTGTTTYAAAGCCTTTAAATGTTTTGAAAATACAAATATAGTTTACAGGCGGAGGGAACAGGCTAGATTTAACTCACAAAA